TTGTATTTTCAGACGTCCAAACGAAGACAGCAGCTGAAGAAGTATGGAAAATGGTAAGTAAATTTGTGTTTTTTTGGAAAATTGTCAGGATTTTAAGGGTTGTAATGGAATGATGTTTTTTAAATTGAAATCAGCCATTTAAACGGCGTTTTTCTTGCCCGTATTGAGGATTTGAATAAGCGAAACGTCGAGCGGTTCATGGTAAAATACGACGACGTATCGATCTTTCGGCGCCGCGGCGCAACGTACTTTCTTGTCGACGTTGTCAACATGTTGCGAAAAACTTTAGTGCGAAGTTTTTTAGGAACAAAAACCATGTTGATTGGTTAAAAACTTCTTAAGTAGCAAACAACGTGGGTTGGGACAAAGCAGACAATTTTTTTAATAAATTGAAATATCGTATTTTTGCAGAAATAATAGAAAAATTGGTTCAAAAAAATCAAATTGCCATACGGATGCGTTCAGAACTATATAGAAATTTAGTATCCAGGCCAGGAAATAAAGTCAGCTCGTTAAGCGAAATATTTTCCGCTTTTCACCCCGCCATGTCCCTTTTTTCAACCCCAGTGGCAACATTGTCTGGACGTCGCCATTTGCTTTGTTTACGGTGTTTAGTGTCGCTAGTTTTCCGGATGGAATTTTCACGGAAAATTTTCATTTCTTTCAACTTGTGAAGAAAATTCCGCTTTTCAATGACATAAACCTGCCTTGTCCAGTGGTATTCCCTTTGATAGAATCGGATTTTTTTCATTGGAAACTCCAGTTTCGGTAAGTTTTCCGCACGTTTCGAGGTTATGGCAAAAGCCGGCTCAGGGTGAGTTATTCGCAGGGGTGATTTTACGGCTTTTTCATGGTCGACGGCGAATTTTATGTTTGTTCGCTGCAATTAAAAGCGAATTTTAGGTCAGTGTGCCAGAAGAGGAATTTTATTCGAAATCACCTTTACTTCCATTGAGGAAGCTGGAAAGAGTTTCGGGATTTATTCTAATGGAGGAATGAGTAATATTTGAAAATATTTTTGAGATGTTTATAAAGGACTGTTAAGTGGCTAAAAGCTTAGGTTTTCATTGTCAATGATTTCCAACGAAATTACATCTAATGATGATTGCCCTCCAGATATTCGTGACATGCGAAGTTATTTTAAGGAAAATGAGCGTTGTGCGTGACGGCGGTCAACGTACAGCCATTAATAAATTATTAAAAATATATCAACTACCAAATCGATACCCCTTCCGGTTTCCAGGCGTTAAAATTTTTATTAAAACCCCCCGACTCAGTCACTTGTTTGACTAAAATACCGCCCGACTTCAACGGGCTTGAAATTCCCTCCTCACCTTTCGTTTGATATGAAATGCCCTCATTTAAATATTTTGAGCCCCCGAACATGATTTAACTGACGTTTTCCTTGTCCCCTACCGATAAGGAGATTGATGATGGCTGAAAAATTTGAATTTAAATTATATGGAATATTTAAAGGGTGGTTCGATGAACTTGTCCCCTTTGAAAAAACTAATGTACTTAAATCAGCCCGTGTTGTGGTTTTTTTCTCGGTTGGGTAATCTTTTATTTATCTATGAAAACTGCCGCAACCGAGAATATCGTCCGAAATATGCCGGAGAATCTTTGAGAAACTCGCTCACGTTCACGCTTTACTGAATTGTTAAAAGCCCGGGGAATTTCAAGAGTTTTCTCTGTCCGTCGGTTCCACGCAAAACGGAATGTATAATGTGGCTGACAACAGTCGGCTGTTTTAAAATTCTTTTTTCGGGCTTTTTCGTAAACATTGGAATGTTATAACTAATGCTAAACAAGGGGATTTGATCAATGTCTACATGCATTCACCAAGATAGAGTAACCACAAAGGGTGGTTAAAGTAAGAGGAAATAAGAGTTTTGTAGGCTTAATAATCGTAGAGGCACCCATAAAACTACGAAAAACCGGATGTTTATGTAGTTAATCAAATTACGCATTACGAGTCCTCCATGTTCTTAAGTTTAAAGTTCTTGAGCTTACAGTTAATTCACTTGGTTTCGAACACACATTTTTTACAAGAACTTTATTGCCCTTTCAACTAGAAATTAGCGTTTGAAACTGTGTAGATTGAAAGTTCAATTTTTTGTTTAATCTAAATCTACTTGCTTGAACCTTAAATTGTAGATCAAACATTTAAATGCATAATAGGAACAATGAGATTCCTCTTCAACTAAACGTTGTTGCTTCAACTCTACAATGCGGATTGAAAATCCAAATAATTACTGCTTACTAGGTCTGATCTATAAGTGTGATTAGAGCACTTTTAGTGGACAAAAAGGTTATGGGGCGTCATATGATTTTTTCTGCCAAAAGCAGTTTTTAAATAAATTTAAATATTTTACCGACAATTATAGATTGAAAATGGAATTATGAATTGGACCTATAAATCAAAGTTTTGACTGTTATTGTAGATTGAACTTTAACTCTACAAGTGAGAAACAATGAAAATTATTTCTAAAGGGATTTCAGGGATTGGCTCATTTTTCAATAGCCACCTTGAACCTTCAGTTGTAGAATGGCGCAATTTCATTGCAAATTCAACTATAAATGTAGTTGGAGGCTTGAATTTCAAGTAAAATTGAACAATTGCTACAATCAACTTTTATTATTATATTTTTGAACAGCTATTATAGATTTAATTTGAAGAAGAAGAAGAAGAATTGGCCCTAGAATTGAGTTGAACATTGACTTACAACTATCAATGTAGGATTGTAACAATTGAAGTTCAAGTTTACAACTTTAAGTTGAAGCTCCTAAAAATAACAATAAAATCTACTAAGTTCAACTAGAATTTGATTGTGAATTGATACTGATACTAAAATTGTTAAGTCAAGCTTCAATTTTGACCTTCAGCTTAAGCTTAAGCTGCAATTGACTTGATTATTAACTTTACAATGGAATATTTTTTATATCAATTGCAACAAAGTTCACTTTTCAAATAAGTTGCTATTATTTATGTCTTAATATACAAATTTCTAAGTGTTTCTGGAACATTCTAAGAATTGTTTGTTAATACAATTACTACAACTTCAAGTGCCGACAATCGAATTTAGTTTTAGAATATATCTTTTGATTGAATATAAACAAGCTTTGCTTGCATTTCTAGATCTGGGAATTTTAAACAAATGAAGTTTTCTAATTTTTCACCGAATTTCACCGACTTTACGCGTATGCCACAACTTTAAATTATTCTTAACCGATTATCTGATATCATCGGGTATTTTTCATGTATGTTCTTGCATTACGCTCAAGCTGTTATTGGAGACACAGGAAATAGACGAGTGAAAAGGGTCAAAAGAAAAAGATGATCATATGAGATTGATCTAGCTCATCCTAACTTAAAAAATCCTGGAAACTCCCATAAATTTCCTTTTGAGTTTTTTAAGTTCCTCCTCACTTAAAGCAGCTGATTTTCGCTTTGGAGTTATACTATGGGACGCATTGAGGGACTTTTTGTTTTACTTTGGCGAATTTTGAAAAAATCGGTACTGCCCAACGATTAATCGTTTCCAATTAGTTTCCGAAAAAATCCTGGAAGCTCCCAGAAATTTCTTATTAAAGTGCGTTTTTCCACACTTAAAGCTGCGCGTTTTCTCTTTCGAGTGTTATTATGAGCCTGATTGTGGAATTTTTGGTTTTTTTTGAAAATTTTTTGAAAAGTTTGTCTTTTCCAACAGCCAATCGCGCCTTGCCTTACTAACTGAAAAAATACTAGAAACTCCCAGAAATTTCCTAATCAAGTGAATTTTTTCACTTAAAGCAGCCGATTTTCTCTTTCAAGCGATGTTATGAGCGGCATTCAGGAATTTTTGGGAGTTTTTCCGGAGCATTCAGGAGTTCTTCCGTGGCGAATTTTTGAATAATCCGTGTTGTCGTCGCTTCGATTTAGTATATGAAAAAATCCATCATTCATTTCGTCATCGCTATCGTAATTTATGGGTACATTTTTCATGAGCTCACTTTGTGCATTTATTTCAGTGAATCGCGCCACTTTTGGTGTAAGTTTCAGGACAATGGGGGCACAGTTAATCTTCAGTTTCATCAATTGAACTCTCCAACTTGTTTTTTCTGCTACTTGATTTGATCTGTGTTTTTCTCATTTATTTTTCCTTTTTGTATGAACTTTTTTGAGCTCTGTCCATTTTTATTTTCACCAAGTTTGACTACTGTTTTTGTAAAATTGGTTGTTTTTCTAGGTTTCTCCTAAAGATTTTCTATTAAAGTTCGTTTTTCCACACTTAAACAGCGCATGTCTTCGTTCGAGTTATATTATCAGCCGGATTGTGGGATTTTCGCCTTTTTCTTGATAAATTTTTGAAAAATTGGTATTTTCTAACGGCCAGTCGCCTCGACTTACTAATTGCAAAAATACTGGAAACTCTCAGAAATTTCCTATTAAAGTGGGGTTTTCCTCACTTAAAGCCGCGGACTTCGAGTTATGTTATGGGCCGCATTGAGAGACTTTTAGTTTTACCTTGGCGAATTTAAAAAAAATCGGTGTTGCCCAACGACCAACCGCTTCGAATTAGTATCCGAAAAATCCTAGAAACAATTTTCTATTAAAGAGCGTTTTTCCATTTAGTATCCAATATCCAAATATAAGTGGCGATATTTTTGGAAATGTTTCCGAAAAAAACGCAGTTTAATTACAGCCTATTGACTTTAATCAGCTTTAAGAGAAATTACTTAGTGAAATTTGAAGGGATAATAAAACCGCAGCAGGCCGAAGAGTAAATACAGAAAAACTAAACTACTGGTAACTCTGCTGTGAGTTAAATTTGATGTTTGTGATTAAATAATATAAAATCTATAATCTAAGTATAGATTTTATCTTTAAATACATTAAATTCAAGTTTTTATCGTCAGAGTTACACAGGATTTTAATAAAAGATTCAAAACTTAAATACATCAATGCAGTGTTAACAGTTTGTCCATTCTTGCATCGGGTTCAAGTAAAGGAAGAAAACTAGAAAACATTTATTTATTTATTTTATACGGACATTTGTTAACGGTCTTACTGTAAAGCGTACCAAATTGCAATTAATCCAAAAACGTTCACATAAGTAATAAAGCGCTTGCCAACACCGGCACTTGAATCCAAAGATTTATTTTGGTGAGTTTGCATTTCTCCTGGCAAAATTGCCTCTGAACTAACGTCAAATGAATCAGTAGTAGTTTCACTTTGATTTTTCTCCTCAAAGCCATCAATGCCATCACATATACTCTCTAAGGTAACATTTTTCAAGCATTTCCCGCACTTGATCAGGTGCGTGACGCTTTTCAATGGGACTTTACACGATTTTCCTGCTGGTGTGCTGCAGGTGTTCGCGTAGCTCTCATCTAGAATCATTTTGTAGAAGTCCTCCAGCTGGACACCGTCCGGTCCGTGGCTCAACGGAGAAAACATCCACGCTAAATTCTCACAGGTGCATAGAAACTTGTTTCTGCTGAACATCATGTCGGTTTGGACGTTTTCGTACGAAACATAGTCTGGATGAAGGGCGGCAGCATCCACAAAGTTCAGCTCATTTTTGCTGAAATCGTAAATGAACTTCAGCTTTCCGAAGCTGTGCCCGGAATATTGCAGCAGTCCAGGGCTGAGTTTCTCCAAAGCGTTTCCCCTGAGGTGCGAGAACTTGTTGTCCAGGATAAATATGTTGGTTCCTAGCAGGGACAAAGCATGGGCCTGTAGAGTTTCCACCACGTTCTTGATAAAGTAGAAGTTTTCGAATGTACCACCTATTCCATTGGGAAGTATTTCGGCAAAGTAGTTTCCGGTGAATATGATGGTTTTTGCGGTTGTCACCATAGCCAAATATTCCATTAGTTTGATAGTGCTGTTGCGTACCTCACACGTTCCACTTAAATCGAGTTTCAGCTTAATTGCATCTGCTCGAATATGGTTGATTTTCACGTTGCTAAAGCTGAAGTTTTTGAAGTTATTAGTAGCAATGAATGCCGAAGGTTCCACAGTATTAATGGTAACATTCTTGAAGGAGATGTTTTGGAAGTCATTTGTTTGCTGGAAGCAGCCACGAGGGTAGGTGGCTTTGTTGATTTGCTGGAATGTCTTTTCTGGAATCGAGTCAATATAAGAAACGTTCTCCACAAGGACAGTGGCCGGCAACATCGGATCTTGTGTCACTTTGACGAAAATAAGTTTTTTTATATTGACGATGTGGAGCGTATGCATTGATTTTCTCGCTGCAGTGCATGATGTGGATATAGTGAGTATGTTGCAGTTTTCGATTTTTAAACTCTCCGTATTTATAGGGGATGCAAAATCGTTGATATAAATAGAAACGTCCTGCAGAATATCGTAGTTATAATATTGCAAGGTTTGAGTGGTGGTTTTCGTTACTTACGTTCATTCCATTTGGGCATGTGTAGGTTAATGCAATATTCTTGTTCGGCTTCGTTATGCAACTGAATCCATTTTTCGAACAACCTGAGAATATTACTTTTGTAGCGCCATCAGTGTTCTGGAAGTTCATCAGCAACACTATCACAGTACCAATCATCCACTTGATTTCGAAAATCATGGTAGCGTTAAGATGTAACCCGTCTAACTAGCATACATTGTTTCCTAACAGAACTGCTCCTGTTATCACCATTTGGGGAGATAAATAGAATGGGGTTTAGTGATCGATATAACAGCGAGCAATTGAGTAGGTTAAGGTTGTTGGGAGCTACACATTTTTGGAAATTTGTTGCAAAGTTTTAGGAAGCTGGAGCGGTAACAAAAAAAATTGTATCGAAATTTTTTCTTGCCAACTGGTCATATCGAAACGGTTTTTTTCACTACATGTCGATAGTTGTAGTTCTCTGTTTTTAGCGCTGATGGAGGCAGGAAGTTTTTATCGTGGAATTTCAATTTCAATGTTAGTTCAATGCAGAAATTTTTATCGCTGTTTCTGTCGGCCTTGCTCATCACTGCTATTCATAGATACAGGGAAATCGTTTTTTATGTAACTAATCTCATTTCAGCATAATTGAGGAATGACAACATTGTCTTTAAATTGAGGCATTGGACTTGGACGCACAACTTTTCAAAAACTAGTTGGATTTTTGGTTGCCCTCGTTAGCGAATAGTGATATTTTTTGATATTTTTAATTGTTCACCAACGCATTTTTAAATGTATTTTGTTTTATTCTAGGTCTTTAGTGTGTTTTTCATTAAATATCTTAATTTTGCAGCTTTTTGCGTCTACTTTTCATTGTTTACCTTTAATTCCATATTTTTTTTCGCGTTTCTCTTGTATACTGTTTTATTCTGTGTATTATAGTTCAAATTTGTTTTAATAATAGGTGTCCTTCACTGCTCGTGTTGATTTTATATAATGTTCTTTGTCATATACTTTAATTATATTATTTAAATTTATCTGGTATTTTTTGCCAGTTTACCATTCACTCTTGTTCCCGCGGTGATTTCTCTTAATCTGATTCTGGTTGTTCTGCTTTAAGTCGCCTCATAACTTCCGCTTTGCTCGGCTTGCTTTTTATTTAGTAGATTTACTTTCAAACCCTTATTTTGTTGGCAATTCTCAACTTTGCCTTCTTCCTTATACTTGCAATTGTTGACGCTTAATTTTTTTTCTTTTGCATGTTTGTTGTCTCCTGGATATTGTTTTATTTCTTCAGTGTTTAGTTTGTGCATCAAGCAACTCAACCTCGTTTGTTCGTTAATAATACTTTTCATTCACTGCTTGTGTTACTTTTATATTATTTGTTGCCAGCGATTTAATTGATTATTTGAATTTACTTTTAAATTTCTTCTCAATATTTTAAGTTATTTTTGACTCTTCAATTAATTCAAAATTATTGTCCTGATAAATTCTTCCTGTTTTCTTCAATTTACTCTAGTGGGTGTTTCCCTTAATCTGTTTATCAACAGTTTATTTTCAGTCGTCTCACTTTAAAAGCCATAAAATAACTTGCATTTCTGGCAACTATTTCTTGGCAAATGTGCAAGTTCCAATAAATATTTTTCTGCTTTGGTACTGATTTCCTACCAACATTTTCTTGGCGCTTTCTTTAAATTTGTGAATGATTATTGAAATTTCCTTTTTAAATATTTTATTATTACAGTGATGAGTTCTTTATAAGCTACATGGGTCATAAGCAATAACTTTTTTTGAATGCATTTAATTCTTAATATTATATATTTTTGTAATGGATTCTATATATGTGTTTGTTTTGTTCGTTTTGCCTTTTACTTTTAGCTTAATTGTTCTTCTGATTGCTTCATTTATTTACATCTAACAAGTGAACACGTTTATATGTAGGTGAACTACATATCAACTTGTTCACTTGTTAGATGTCTGATTCACTTGCACTGTGCTATTCATTTCTATTTTGTTTATTTTTCAGATTTTTACAGGGTGTTTACTAGTTTTAATCGCGAGTAATTTAACGATTATAAGAATAATGAAAACTTGTTATGTAAACTTTGCCTTGAATGATTCATTTGCGAAGTGAATGCGCTATGATAGTTTCCGAATGGCTGCAATAATTTAATGCAAAAATGCGGGTTTACTGCAAAATAGGCTGATCAAGGTTTATTTCAACACCAAAATTCTACTCGAAATCTTTTCAATTCAATTATGTTCTTAACCATTTTATTGAGCTTTCGTCAGAGTTCTTCTAACAGTTCTCAATTTATATGCTATAGAATCATTGCAGTTTATAACATTCCAGTGTTACGCAGCAAACAGCGACTTAGAGATTTTGTGTCGCTTTTTACGAGTTTAGAGGAGTTTCAATTTCAATATTAACGCAATTCAGAAAGTTGCATCGCAGTTTCTGTCGGTCTTGCTCACGAGTGCTATTCAGGCTAACAGGGAAATCGTACTTCTAACCACAATCTCAAATTCGTAAAATGAAACTGAGAATAAACTACAAACAGATTTGGATCGAACCATGGCTGATATTAATTGTATAAAAAAAATAAATAATCCCAAAAGAAAAATATGTAAGCGCTAAACAAGGTTTTTATAAACCGCGAAACCGCAAATAGCAATAGAAAAATCGAAAAATTAATGCCATATTGCGAAAACAGAACGACAATTAAACATCACATGGACTTAGATCAGGGCATCTCAGTGCTTTGCACTTTGTTCTTCGACGAAACTTTAAATTTATTTAAACGTTGGATCGGGTCATGTGGTTGTGTTTTTCATCAATTCATGTGGTTGTAAATTACAGTTAAAAACAGGAGAACCACCATCCCATCAGTTGGTGTTTTTAAATGAATCGTGTTATCAAAGGCCACGTTGTGGCTAAATGACAAACATTTGTTGTGGAATTAACGCAGTTCGAGCTCGTTCTTTAAAAGTGCATTTTTTGTGAGAAGGTTTTTCAGCTCCATTTAATAATTTCAAGTGGTGACAACCTAATTACGGGGTCTAACTCGATTGTATTCATTTCAAAAGTTCTGTTTCCGCAGTAGCAACAAAAAGAACCGAAAATCTGGTAGTTTGCAATGACACATTTACAATCGCCCTCGAAAACCGATCTGGAGTGATAACGAAGTATAGGGAAAGGAAGTCGGGGCCCAAATGCGATCGTTTACGTGTCAACGGCATTTTGTTTTGCAAATTATCAGGTCTCAAAACGAGACGGGTTCTTTACATTTGCCTATTCCCGAAGTTCCAGACGCGACATTTCCACTGGCAGATTAATTTCTCGTTGATGGCTTTTATAGGTTTCGTTTGCATGTGGCGCTGAATGATACAAAGCAGACGTGCTAAAGCCCAACTTTCAACCCCCTCGTATTCTGTAATAAAACACTAAGTGCATTTAAGAATTCCTTCAGGTCATCGCCATAACCCTTATCGGTCTCCGAAAGTCCATCAATCACGTGACCGTACGTTTAGCTGACCACCCCAAGTCCGGAACCTCCGGAATAAAGCACGCGGGTCATTTTGGACCCGTACCATATAATTAGTTTTTCTTTTCGACTTTTACTAATTTGGTCTGATCTCTGGACATATACTTTACGTGTTTATTTACATAGTCATTCCTCTGGAAGGTTTATAGAAGCGTAGCTATGTAATAAGCTAATATGGTTTAGATATTAATGAAAAACTAGCTTTTGAATTAGGTCACTGTGTAAAGTTTAAAAATTCAACGAGTGAAACGCGAAAACATTTAGGTGAAAGGAAGAGTTGAAACTACGTTACAGATGAGAATGATAATTGATTGTTATCGTGTTAATTGATAAACATTGCATTTTTATTTTCATTTCGAATATTTCAACTATAGCAAAATCTTTGCTTCCACTTTTGTGTATAAACTGTTTGAATTTCACTTTGTGGTCCACACCCTGTTACAGTAAACTCCGGTATGGCAAATGATCCTGATTACGAAATGACTCATGGATATTTAAGACGGATTTTCAGACAATTTCATAATTTGAGAAGACGAACGTGGAAATTTGTATTGACGAACACACGCAGTATTCATACATTCAAGATTATTCTCAATTTTTTTGAGCGGGTTAGTTGGACTTATCTGATCAGAACGAGATCGACATTTTTTCATCGCCTATTTGTCTCCCTGCAAGTTCTACTGTGTTATTAAATAAGCGTCTGAAATGTTGTTCAACTTGATGTAAATTTTGAATTGATTCATCTCAAGAGTTAAACGTAATTACTTGTCTGAAATAGTTCTGTTCTGTGCTGTTAATGTGTATTTTTCATATTTTTCTACATTTTCTACAAGTTTTTGCTAAATTTGCTGAGACAAAAAAGTAATCTCGAATGTGTTTTGTATCAGCAAATTCCAACTGCTCTCTAAAATCTAGGAAAACGAAGAGTCCTATGCAGATGCGAAAGCTACACTGTTTCCTAATTATTATTTTTTAGTTTTCTTTCAAACTATTACAAAGTTGAGTCACTTAGAACATAACATCCGAATTGAGTTTCGAAAGGAGACATTGCAATTGCGCAGATGACTTGGACATAGGTTCAGCAAACTCTTATTTTCGGTGAGTCCTTCCTACGAAATGATTATATGGTTTGCTCCGTGCCAACGAAGCAAAATACGCTAACCAAAACTCCGGTGCGTTGCCTTAATCTTTAATCTCTTCCGCCTAAATCGTGTCTGGGCCGAAATTCCATTTATTTTATCTGGGGAAAATGGAATTTTCCTGCTTTCTCATCAACAGGTATAAAACAACATCGAGGTAATTCTTTTTCCGTGGCTTGCGACCACTATGCGAAAATTAGAACTTGCCGTTTTGCAGCTTGAAAAATTTCCGTTCTTCCTCTCAGGTTTCTCCCTGTCTAATCACTTATTCTGCAGCAGTGATGAATTCCGAAGAGACCGTCCCTCCGGTCTCCAAAAAGAGCCTAGATCGCAATTACCGTATTGTAGCCCAGGGCAAATATGGGGGGAACCGGAATTTTATCAGTTTCGATCGAAATAAGTCGGAAGGCAGGAAATTTCTTGTAGTCTTTGCTCAAAGTGAGTTAGGATTTGCACATTGGACCGACTTTCCTATTGGGGAAGCTCGAAATTCCCATTTTGAAGGGTGCTTTTGTAGGACCACATTTTCAAAGGGGATTCAACGAATTGTACGTTTTACGCCAGCTGAATATTAACTGTTTCAGGTACTAATAGCTAATTAATTGCATGGGGAAACATTTATTGACATTTTCATGAAACACACTAATTGCAGTGACATTTATAGCGGCTATAAAAAGTCGGGAAACACGTGTCGACGAGTCTTTGTTGAATCATGTGTCCTTTTTAAGGCCCCCATCCCCACATCCACCTATAAATACACAATAAAACACCTCGTAAACTTATCAAATAATTATAGGAGTTATAAAACGGGAACCATTAAAGAATATGCCGGTCTTAGCCAGGAACCAATGGAAAGTCCAATGCTTCAGTTTGTTGTTCTGGATAGGAACAATAACGTTGCAATTTTGCTGCGGGCGATTTCTTATTATGGTTTTATTTGTTTAGTTGTTTCATATTTGTTTTCCATTTCCCTTTCACTGTTATTTGTTGCAAACTTTTCCAAATTAAGTTAGACCACTGCCAAAAGCTGTTATATTTTTAGTTTTTCTCATGTAGGTACTTTCTCCTAAGTAAATCTTCTTCACCAGACGTTTTTCTTTTTATAGGTTTCTCCATCTTTATTTCTCTTTATCTCCATTTCTGGTCATTTCCACCCTCTTGATCAATTTCTTCGCTTTTTAATTTTTTCCCAACTCAAACCTTGTTTTCCAGATTAAGTCATTACTCGAAGTACTTTCTTTATCTCCCGATAATTTCAATTTCTGACTTAATTATGATCGCATCTTCACTTTTTATTTGTCTTTTATCTTCTTAGGGTTTTTAGCACTCTGGTTACTCTTACTATATTCTTCCATGTATGTCTTTTATTATATTTCGAGATATCATCTGGGTTATTTTGTGGGCATTCGTTTCATCTCGGTTTTTCTAGTTTTGCTTTGCTTTCAAACTTTTCTCGTGGTTGGCGCCATAAGCTACAATTATCCTCGCATTTTGTCTTAGATTTATTTCAGTTTTTATAAGTTTTCCTGTTTTTTTAAATCATGCACCCGCACACTTTCAGACGACTTTTCTGTTAGTCGATCTTCCTTCCCTTATTAACTTTCTCACGTTCTACGTTGATTTCTATCAGTTGATCACGTGGTAAATTGTCTTCTAAATTTCTTTCAATCATTTTATTTGCCTTTTAAATTTTAGGACTCTAGTTGACTCTACTATCTTCCTTCGTGTTTTTCAGACTTCTTCTCACGCGTTCTTTACAGATGCGTTTACCAAATTCATTGATTTTTATAGTTTTTATATCTGCTTCCATCTCTGCTTTTTTTGTTTACATGTGATCCACCATTCATTGAGCTATTAGTCCCAGGTGTTTCTTGTCCGATTAAATATGCCCTCTTATTCTTTGCTTCTATTTTTCCTTTTGTGTGCTTCTTCTATTTCTTTTTGTGATAATTTTTATTTTTTGTCGCTGTTTATTTTCGCCATCATATGCCTGACATGCTTTAAATTTCTTTTATATATTTCTTGTTTATAAGACATGATAATGTCTTCTCTCGTGTACTTAAGCGACTCTGTATTGAAAAAATAAAGTTGTGTTCCCGTCAAGACTTTAATTTATAACTTCTACTATTATTAACCTGTGCTGTGTCAATTGTCGCTTTTCTTAGTTTTTTCGCTGTTCTTATTTACAACCGCTTTTCCGTTACTTCAATTTTATCTTGTTTTTTTTACTTTCAGGTTTCCTTGATTCCCAGTAGCTCTTTTTCTGTTAACTTCTGACGCTTCACATATCTCGCATTTCTGGCTGGACACGTCGATGTCCAATAAAGTCAGTTTTTATATAAAATATAAACATTTTTGCCAAACTGCGCAATTTCAGGCCAAATTAATTACACATTGAAACTTTATTGAAAATATTGAAAAATTATTCATTTGCGGTCGAAAAATTACCATCGCAATCGCATCGTTGGGGCTGGTTTTTCTTGATATTGTGGGATGAAGTATTTGCATACATTAAACATGTATGAACAATAAAACGCAATAAACTGTACAACATTTTTTATGTAAAAATGATATGAAGTACAACAAACTATTGCGCAAATTTGTTCTATTCGTCAAAGTTTTTTACGGGCAATGTTGTGATTCTATGTTTTTTTCGCTGATGGCTAAGAATTTTTATATTTTTGGAAGAATTATTGCAAATTTTTTGAAGAGGAAGTCCATGATCCCGGTTGTATTTTTCGTTCAATTTTTGAATATATCTCTTTTGGTTTGCTGCCAATTTGGCACAGTTTGAAATGCGCGGAGTTGACTTTTTCAAGCTTCATTTGACTGGTTTAAAGTAGCAATTTTTTTTACCAAATCTGACAAAAACCCAAAATATAGTACATATTTGAATTCGAATTGTTTTCTTCAATAAGTCGAAATCTTGAACACTTTTAAATTAGAAGACATTTTTTTTCAAAACGACTTATAAGAACGATTTCAAATAAAAATAGCAATAAAACAGGCAGCCAGTCCTCAGGCAGCTTTTATAGTTTGCCACTTTTCTTATTTCACTCATCATGGAAAAACCTCTTGATTCTGAAGTATTCGCCTTAACATCGGATCTAAAAAGACATTCAATATCTTCTTTTACGACCAGCGCCCCATTGATGCCTAACATAGATTTCATCGACAGTGATGTATCATTCTCCTTAATGTTTTGGTTTTGATTTGGAATTTTTCTTTAAATTCTGGCGAGAATCAGGATTTTCTCTAATAAAAGACTTTGAGGGTTTATGGTAAGCCCATCCAGCAATTAAGGGACCCTTAAGAAAAACACAAATTCCAGCCTCGAAATTGAGCTACAAATGAAGTAGACGACGCTTGTCATTGTATTAATATCTCCCCCATCATACAGGGGACAACCGAATGTGATTTCTGTATCTCGTTGGTAATTTTTATGGCCCCTCGACTACTTCTATAATGGACCGTCCAAATTCAATTTATCCAGAGGGTGCTTACGGTGTAAATCAACTGGAGTAACTTTGAAACCACTCAAAATCCAATTATCATATATGCTTGCCTCAAAAATTGATTTCGTCGAATGAAATCCGCAAAAATTACTTTCGCTTCCAGTTTACGATCAGGAACAAAGTTTTATTGTCGTTTGAGAAAGTGCGTGTCAGAAACAGGCGCCAAATTCGCCCCGTTTGTCACTTAATTTTCAATCTCCATTCGGAAAATGAATTCAAGATGGTTAAGCATTCGCTTTACGTCTCTGGAAAATTAAATTAGCCGAAGTGTCTAAAAACTGGAAAACGTTTTCCGAGGCTTCCGATAAATTAAAAGTCCATTAATGTAAATAAGCTTTTGCCAAGTTTCTCAAAAGACTGAAAGCGCGGATTTTGACGACATTAGGAGGCCCGATTGGATTATGATTAACATAATTTTCAATTCCTCAGTAGAGTTGGTTATTCGCTTCTTGAGATAATTCATGTCTAAGTAAAGCAGAATAAGCGAAAAAAATTAATGCTAGAAAATAATGGGGAAAGGCTTTTTAGCATGGCACCACAGCAATGAGTTAAAGAGGGTTTGGACTCAATTAGTTTCTCATTTTTTTGGTTTAATTTTTATTTGTTAGCCAAAGTATAAAACATTCAGCTTGATTTTCGCTTGCTCCCTTTAACCCAAAATGTAATTTTTTGCTTTTTTGGTGCTCATGAGCAAATTTATTTTCCGTTAAACTAATAATACAGGGCTGATTCAAAATTGGCGTCATTCCTGTTAAAGGGTAATACACTTATAGAGTACGAGAAAAATAGTGAAAATTTTTTTTTCGATAATTTCTTCAAGATATTAGCATGAAATCAAAATAAAATAAACTTATGAAGCATTATTTTGAAATTGTTCCATAAGAATCTTTTTTCCAATATCCAATAAATATTTTTCCGCTTTGATTTAATGGCAATTTCTTTCATGTTTTGGTAATCGTTATTTGAAGGTTCTGATTTAAAAGTATTTCATATTATATTGCCAAGTTCTTGATTTTTCTGTTTATTTTCAAATGTTTCTAGTGGTAGATCCTACTGCCGTTGTTACTTCTTGTCTTTCGTAATCTGTTTTTTGCTCATGTCTAATTCGTACCAGAGTCTCCAGAAGCTATAAAATCCTTCCAATGCATTGAGTTGTCTTGTGTGCATTGTTGTGAGAAAATTGTTTGAATATATTTAATTCTTAATACTTTTGTATTTGATTGGCTGTATATTTGTTTTGCTCGTTCGCTATGGGCTTTACTTTAACTTAATTGGTCATGTGATTGCTTTAGTTCTCGTACGTATCAGTGTTTATTTTTAAGCTGTATGCTCCACTCGCACTGCGCTATAATTTGTTATTTTCTTTTTTATTATCGGCTTTATTACAGGGTGACCTAATTTAAATCGCCAGTAATTTTGCACTGGATTATTTTTATGGAATTTATAAGAAACTGCTACGTAATTTTTGTCGCAAACAATTTATTTGCAAAATCCATGCATTATGAGTTTTCCCCAATATTTGCATCAAAGTTTACAAGACAGAATATGTCGTTTCAGTGAAAAAAACATTTATTTGATCTTCGCAATTAAATTCTAGACACTTTGTATATTTTACTTTAAACATGCGATAAGATAAACTTGTAAATAAGCGACTTATTATTTTGTTCCATTTATTGATAAAGAATCACTTTCATCCGTTTATTTAACATTCCTGCGGCATGCAGAAAACAGCAGCTAAGGAACTTTGTGTAAGTTCTTCTACAAGTTTGGTCTTTGATTTAGCTTTTTAATATTTTTTTAGATTAACAGTCAACAATGTATTTAAGGTTTTTGAACATTTTGGTCTTCCAATACAAGTCTCTGATCAAGAAGCAACTTTGATATGTGTTGCCTTCTACCGATTAAAAGCTTTCAATGATGATCAAACGCGAACTTGACCCACCTTGAAGGAGGTTTTGCTACGTGTATAGACTATCCCTAAAACATACAGGGTGTACCAAAACTCTCGAATGTTCTCAAATGTGTTTTTTTTTCATTGATACTTGCTGCTTAGTTAATCTATGCGATGTTTACACCTGTATACAGTACAGATTTTATTATAATTTAACTGTTGCGAAATGTATGGAATAACCCAAAATATACAGAGTGTCTTGAATAATTTGGATAACTCCAGTGTTTATGATATGAAATTGAATGATTGAACTTTGAAACAAATCGTATCTGCATCACGCGTGTTTTAAGATCTTACCAGAAGGCACTATTTATGGACAGTTTTTGAAAAAGCACGCTTTAAAGTAACATGACGATAAATATTACAAAAGTGTTAAAAGGAACACGGGTTTGATTAAGCTTAATGAAGAAACGCTGTAAAGGCGTCTATACTTTCACACTAAACTAAGCGAAATTGGAATGGCCGCATAGATCACCAGAGCTAACGCCATTTGTCCTGCAGGTAAACCACTTGGAAACTGTAGCAACTCCAGATTTGAAATTAGGATTCAGTAATGAATTCCGCTGCAGAAACTAATAAAACCAGGCAACGTTTTGCAAATCGCCCGTATGCAATCTCCCCCAATATTTTCTTCGGGTTGCGGTCCGAAACGGCCGACGCCGCCGACGCCGATCCCGACGCTGTTTCAAATGCGCGACGCACAGCAGTCGGCAGCTTATCTCCTCTATATATTTTATTAAACAGAAAGGGAAATCCACCGTTCAGTTGAACCGCGTTCGTCTAAACGTTATCAGCCAGTTATCATGTCGAATTTGTTTCAAATCGATGTGTTTACTTGTCAAGACTGACAAGAAACACGTGAAAACTGACTGGCACGAGTCAATTGACGTGCTAGTGGCTTGTCGAACTCTTGGACTGGTTTCAACTCCGTATTTTAAGCGCTGAAACTCGATCTCCCTGAAGAGTGACCTTTGTGTTGTGTGGCCGTTCAATCGGACGTGGAGTGTCGATCTTTCTTTTCACCCTGTATATTTGGAGACTTCACTGTACAGACGTAACTGGTGTGGACTTTTGTTCAATGTTCGAATACTCATTCGGCGGGAACCGCAACAGTTAATCCAGGTGAGGAGGCGATTTACAAAGTCACACTAGCTTCTGAGGTTTTTGTTAGAAGTCGCTCAGGCGTTTAACCGCATCAGAAACAGCTTCGAATTTTAACCGTAATATATTTTTTAAAATCGCTCACTACATGAGGATAAAAGTCGTAAAGGAAAAGGCTTGTAATAGCTAATGGGGATTATTGTTGTCGATACCGTGTTATCTTATCTCAGCTGCTACTGAAGCGAGGTATTCCTTTACACAAACAGGTATAATGATAGGAGCGGATGATTGATTTGATTTTGTTATTGATAGTGCGACTGTGACAGTTTTGAGAGCCTTTTAAACAGTGCGGCTCAGGTTATCAGGGCTTGAATGACTTTGTCCGCGTTTTCTTGTGTAATTCGAATATTTGAAGGTTTCCTAAATGACTGCACTGTTTCCTTAGACGAATGAAGTCAGCCAACAACACATTTGAATTTGTGCCAAGAAATACAGGAAAACAATTCCAGAATGCGAGCTGATATACTCACATAATCCCCCTATAAAATTTATGTATTTTCCGAATATAACAAAAGGCATAAGGTTCTCATTCAGGCCGTGATTCCCCCATTTCTTTTTCAGTTTACATCGAGGAAAAATATGCCGATGTCACTTTCGATCTAGAGAAAACCCCCCCGGATTGAACCTGTATTGGAAAACATTTTTTCCCTCAAAAGTCCATTAGGCTGGAGAAGTTTACATTGGAGAGTCAATATTTTCGCTCACAGATACATAAATCCTGGGCTTTTTATGTCGAAGATGTTTTTCCTTCTGGTTCGAATGGGGTTTTACAGATTGACATTTTTGTGTGTTATTATTGCTTTAGTCTATTTTCTGTCTGGATTATTGGAGATTATTAAATTTTGGTCCTCTTTGTTGGCTTTTGGCGATTTGCTTGCTTCGGCTCAATTTTGTTAGACTGATTCACACAGTTTGTTCAAAGTCAATGTGTTAAAATTTTGGCTCTCAATTTGAATTGAATTTAAAATATACTTTATTGCCACATAAATTCTGAACAAAATTATATGGGCAAAACGAATAAGCCTAGACACAAAAAAAAATAACAACAGCACAAACAATAAAGGAAAAATTAGCAAAAAGTGTCACAATGCAATGGTTTAAAATTTTTTTAAAGTTTTTTTTATTTCACGAAGTTTTGCATAAGACAAAGCTCTTCCTATGGTATTAGGAATCAACAAGGCCATTATAACTCTTCCAGAGAACAAATCGTCATTTATTTTGGGATTTATTAAAATATTAAGTTTTTTTCGTTTTATGTCATATTCTTCATGGCAAAATGTCAGTTTTCTGTAAATCGGCTGCTATTAGAGCTGTAGACTGAGAGCATATTTTTGCGTAGAAAAAGATTAGAAAAATATACTTGAAAAACAGAAAGCAAACTTTAAAAAATTCGACATTTCGATAAAGGTTGTCTCTATCTACATATCTATATAGAGTATTTTTCAACTTTGTGGCACAGTATATCACTTGAAAAATACTTTTTTGCTGCTTTCAATCTACTTATTTCGAATGTGTGTCTTTCCGAGAACTTTTATTTATTTTCTGTGTTGCAACTGATACTAAACACACCTTGTCTTGAGTTAATTTTCAACTCTTTCCCTCAGAGATTGATTATTTCGAAATCATGTTTAGTGGTTTTTTGTTGAAAAACCTTGAATGGATTTTATGTCTATGTCTATTTTATTATTAGATTAATTCTGCTTTCTTTTAGAATTGTTCTGTTTTATGTCCTTCTTAGTCGAAAATGTCATTTGAACTAATCAGATATTTGCAACTATTGCTCTTTAAACTTCTAGGGCCCGTTAAAATGTAATATTTTTGCTTTTTCCATTTTAAAGGTTGGGATTTTCCAATAAAATCATTATAGCGATGATTTTTGAAAAGGTCGCTACCTGAGAGTCTTATTTTTCTTCTAGTGTTTTTTTAAGTTTTCGCTTGCCTCTTTAAAGCTTAGAAATTCAACTCTATTCAAAAGAGGAAAAAAAGTGATTTTGTAACACCTCGAAAAATGTTTCTTATGATTTGGCAGGTATTTTTAATTGTCTCCCAGACATACATTTTCTTATGGTTCAGTCTCCTCTTTAGATTAAAACTGGGTTAAATAAAGTGCTCTTTCGAGAAGCCCATTGTAACGACTCTGATATTAATTTGCAACCTTTTCTAAGATAAGGAGTTTCAAGCTTTGAAAGCTACTTAATTTTTAATATTTTTGCTTCTACCTTATCAGAACTGGAAATTTCGATATTTTTATTCTTTCGTTCTCAGTGTTGTCGCATTTATTAAATATTTGCCGTTGAAATAAGATTTCTGTTGTGGGCAATATATCAATCGAGGTTTCCATTTCGTATATTATATTTTAACGTCAGTTTTCAATACTTTCTCTTAAAAATTTATGATGGTTCACTTTGCAATTTAATCTTTGTGGCTTTTCAAATTTTAATTATAGCTTCAAGCCCCAAACGCGCGGGTTTTACTCAGTTTTGCATATCTTTACATTTTTTTATATTAAATCGATAATTAACAACGTAACGTTCATAACGTAAAATTCATATATGAAGATGTTTGTAATATTTCTGTTTCGCCATTAAACATTTTTTGGCTGTTCCTACTCTGTCATTTTTATAGTTTCTTTTGTAACGCTTTTGTATGTCTTATTTTCGTATAAATAAAGTGTAAAATCAGAAAAGTGGGTAAATCTGTTACTAGTAGGTACATTTTTCTTTCTTTATTGTAAATTGTTTCCTCAGTTTTCTTTATAACGTTTGTATCATCTTTCCTAATTACCTATAAATAAATTTAAAACTCAATGGTCGTAAATATGCTATTAGTGCATTGCTTCTTTCTTATGATATTATTTCGGCTTTCTAAACAGAAATTAATTTAATGACGAATAAATAAAAATATATAATTCTTAAAAAAGTCTGTAAGGTGATAATGTTGTTGGCACAGTGATAGTTCGACTTTTAATGATTTTTTTTCAACATTTGTGCCGTTTAAGTCAGACTTTTCAGTTCTCAGATGACTAAAACAATTTGATTAAATCAGAAATTTATTAAAAAGTTCTGATATGTTTTGCAAATATGCAAAGTGGCACAAACAAACAACAAAGTGGCAAAGGTTTTGAGTAGCATATTTGTAATCTTATTTGTGTACTTATGTGTAAAAAATGAGGAAAACTTTCACATCAACATGTCCGGAGTAAATATTTAAGATGGAAAAATTATCTTTTGCATATATTTTTCAAGATTTAGGCTGTAGGTTTTTTGGACACCACTGGACAAAATACCAATTTGATAGGCCGTTGTTCTCTGAATGAAAAAGTTTCTTTTAGTCGATAGCTCTAATGTTAGTCGTTTTAAAGAAGAATGTCATTTTATATTGGCGTAAAAATAATCAATTTGTAACTGTTTAAAACTGAAAAGAAACATATTTTTTTGCTCTAACTAAGTTGCAAATAAGACTTTCCGCATCGGATCAGGGATTTACAAGGCAAACATACCTCTTCTAGAGGACGAGGACGTCGAATTTATTAATGAAGAAAATATTTTTTGTCATGTTTTTCATATCATGATAAGTAACTTCGAAATCGACTGCCATTAGAGCGTTAGACTAAGGGCATCTTTTTGCGTAGACAAAATGGCTTTTGAAAATTACTGAAAATAATTTATAAAATATACTCGAAAAACAATAAAAGGAAGTGGAGGTGTTCCCAAGTGGCGATATAAGTAAAATAAGATAAAACGATTGATTTTGAATATGTTAATTATTTGTTGTAAGTCTGTGCAACGTATCAAAAATTTCCACATTCCGATTTGAAAATTGCAAATAAAATGAACATATTGCTCAACAGTTTATTCAGGTTATACGTTATGCTTATTAGTCATGCAACGTTTCGGTTGCCGGGTCAGAATGTCGTTATGCATATTTTCTAAAAATTCTCTTTTCTTTCCGAAACCATATCTTGCCTTTATTAGCATTTTTGGGGACATTTACAATAACGTCCTCAAACTCTTGTGATACTTGAAAGTTATCGTCAACTTCGCAGATTCTGTCATGTTATTTTCAGTGTCTCACTTGTTTCTTGCTCTACTGTTATCAATTGCAGAATTGTCTGCTTATTTGGTTAGATTTTAGCCTGACTAGACAAGAAACAGTGTTTTAGAGAGTTGATATTTAGTTCCATCCAATGTTAACTTGAAAATCCACTAAAACGACAGCCAAAAGAAATATTTACAGCAAATTTGCTAAATTTGCATCATGTGTTGAAGGCGAGAACATCTTTTTAGAGGTATTGGGCTTAAAAACCTTTAAAATTAAAATGTGATTCGCGAATTGTTTTCACGCGAAAGTCTCCTTCGGATTTCTCCAAGATAAATTCGAAATTGTTGGACCCGAGCCCAAACCGATCCATTGAGATGCAAAGCACGCGTTGATGCGTCCCAGGAGATGACAGCCCTAACAAAGGATGTTTGCTGGAGTTTAAGTCCTTCCACCACCACATTTTCGCTTTTCATAATCTCCCTAATGTTTCAGTGCGTTTGAGTAAATCTTTGATTCTCCGCTGGTAAAACTAATATCACTTGAAAGCTTCCATCCATTCGCACACAGATAGTATATCGTCTAATTTTAACTGTTATCTGGGAAATTACAATTGCTCTTTGATAGTGGCTGGGTATTTTTGGATATTATCTGGCCTTAGCAGTTTCATTCATGGTTGCCTATTGGGAATGGAAGGTGAACTAGAATTTTAATCCTTGTGGATGCAGACTGGTGGACTGGCGCAGTCGTAAGGATGAATGGGTTTTAGCTTTGTACTAGGAAAACAGCTCGGTTTTCAGTTGTTGGCAAATTGAGGATTGGTTTTAAATGCTATCACCTGCAGATTCATAAATATTTTCGCGTTACAACATTATCCGACCCGATACAGGCGTTTCGATTGTTTTCAAATAAAATCAGCCAAT